TCAGGGAGAACACGCTGTACCAAACGTCTCTTATTGTATATCTTACACAAACACAGCCTTTAGCTCACCGCCCAGCACTCGCTCAAGCTATTAAATGCCAGTGATTTTCTCTGCATCATATATTGAAGTTGCGTATTCAAGTCAGCTCGGGGACACACACAGGATGCTCAGCTTGGACTGAGACTCTGTCTGCAATTCATTTAAGCATGGAGTAATCGACTACAGCTAGAAAAGGAAGCAGCAAACAGGATTTGCCGTGCAAATGTGACAGAAACTGACCTACCTTTGTAGGAAATCATCCTTTCCACCCCTGTTTGGGGAAAGTTTGAGGGGCTGGAGCGGGTCCAGAGAAGGGCAACAGAGCTGGTGAGGGGTCTGGAGCACAAGTCTTATTGAGGAGTGGCTGAGGCTGTTCAGCCTGGAGAAAAGGAGGCTGAGGGGAGACCTTCTCGCTCTCTCCAGCTCCCTGAAAGGAGGGTGTAGCCGGGGGGGGTCGGTCTCTTCTCCCAAGGAACAGGCAATGGGACAAGAGGAAACGGCCTCAAGTTGCCCCAGGGGAGGTTTAGGATGGATATTAGGAAAAATTTTTTCACTGAAAGGGTTATTAAGCCTTGGAATGGGCTGCCCAGGGAAGTGGTTGAGGCACCATCCCTGGAGGTGCTCAAAAGACAGGTTGCTGTAGTGCTGGGGGACATGGTTTAGTGATGGGGTTTTTTTTTTTTCTTTTTGGGTTTTTTTGTTTGTTTGTTTGTTTTTGGGCTTTGTTTTTTGGGTTGGTTTTTTTTTTGTCAGAGTTAGGTTAATGGTTGGACTAGATGATCTTGAAGGTCCCTTCCAACCTAGATGACTCTACGATTCTATAAAAGACTCACTGACATTCCCCTCTCCAAAGAAGTGCTCCGGGACATTCCCCTCTCCAGAGAAACCCTGCTACCCCTCTGGGCTTTGACTCCAAACCCACCACGGGCATTTCCACCCGACGGATCACAACCCACCCCTTCCCCAGTGGGCTTCCCTCCCCACCGATGCTGGCTGCCCCATGGCTGGGCAGGGGGGGCACAGCCTGGCCAAAATCCAGCGGCTGCTCCTACATCCCCCTGGCTGTGCTCAGGGCAAGACACGGAGCAGCCCCACACACTCCCCATGGCCCTGACGAAACTGGGTGAGTCTCAGCTGTCCTGGTTTGAGGTAAAACAGAACTAATTTTCTGTTCGGTAATATTACTTTTTTAGCTGGGCCTCTTCTAACGAACTAAACTCTGAAATTAACAGCATATTGTTCAGAAACTGTTCACTCTCCCAGTGACAAGACCTGATGATACCAAGGGATGGGGAGCAGAGAGGCCCCTGCTTCTCCTTATTGCTGGAACAGCCAGGGGCAGGTGAATTTGGGATTTGCCCCGTTGGAGGGTCGGAAGCGGAAAAGCATAGAGGGGTCACCCCCCTGGGGAGGAGAGGACAGGACAGGACAGGTGACCCAAACCTGACCAACAGGGTGTTCCATCCCACCTGCATCACGCTCAGTATAAAAGCTGAGGGATCAAAGGGGCAACTCTCTTCCTTCAATGGCCAATGTCCGAGGAGGACCCTGTCTGTCCGTCTGCCTTTGATCCCGATCCGAGCATCCCTGACTCCAGACCCAGAATCTGGCTCCTGTCCATCACCAAGTCCAGCCTGGGACCTTCCCCTGTGCCTGCTGGTGATGTGATCATCATTCTGGGAGCTTGAGATGGTTTTGTATATACTGTAGACTTTTTTTTCCCTTTTTTCCTTATTATTATTTATTATTTCATTATTTATTAATATTTTCCTTAAAGCCATTCAGCTTTTTCTAAACTCATAAATCTCTTTTATCTCTTCCTCTCCTCTCTTTTCCTTAGAGGGGGGAGGGAGGGGCCATCTGTCCTTCTGGTTGGTCAATCTGGTCTAAACCACTACATCAGGGCAAGCAAGGTTGTCCCCAAGGGGGACCCAGCCTTGGGCACCTGGCAAAGGGCTGTAGGGTGCCCACCCTGGGCAGGTTGGAGGGGTGCCTAAGGGAACACAGGGTGTGCAAAGAACCAGGGTGGGAGGGGAACCTGGGGTCTGATGGAGAGAGGCCGTAGCACTGCACAGCTATGAGAATCATTTGCAAGCTTCAGCAAAATATTCTCTTGAAAGGAAAAAAATTAACTTCTAAATTTGCAACAAAAAAAAAAACCTGCTTAAATTTTTGTCCGCGTTCTTTTGCGGAAAATCCTGGAAAAAAAAAAAATAAAACCAAGATGCCGAAACTGTGAAAAACCCCACATTTCCATTAAAAATCCCTGAAAAAATCCCATGAGAAACTTGAGCACGATGGAAGAAATTCATAGAGCTCAACATTATTCAATTTGCTCTAAAAATAAAGCAAACCCCTTGATACAGCACCTCCCCCTCTTCCATCTCAGGTTCCTCTCCAGACAGTGTTTTTTGGATGTTTGTTTAACCACACTACTCAAATTCATGGCCTATTAGAGGTACAAGGCAGATCTGGCAAACAGAAATGTCACACTGCCCAGCTCACAGGGTCACTTGGTTGGTCACTCTTGCAGAGTATCACCTTCAGGGTACACTTCTTTTCAAACTGCATTGAGAAAGAAGGAATTTTCCTCCCCTCACAGTTTTGCCTCCCATATTACACTATTTTTGTGTTTCCCTGTCTGCTGAGCGTGGCTGTCCCAGCCCCATGGGCAGCAATGAATCCCTGCCCTCCCAGCAGTGGGAGATGCTGCGTTGCTGCTCCCTCCTCAGGACAGCTTTCTCCTCATTTTCTCCAGGTCTAAAGGCAACTGGAGCTGGATTTCAGATTCACGGAATCAGGGAATTGTCAGAGTTGGAAGGGACCTTCTAGAGATCCTCCAGTCCAACCCCCCTGCAAAAGCAGGGCTGCCCAGAGCACATCACTCAGGAGCATCCAAGTGGGGCTTGAAGATCTCCAGAGAAGGGGACTCCACACCCTCCCTGGGCAGCCTCTGCCAGGGCTCTGCCACCCTCACCCCAAACAAGTTCTTCCTCACATCCCAGTGGAACTTCCCATGGTCCAGCTTGTGCCCGTTGCCCCTCGTCCTGTCCCTGGGAACCACTGAAAAGAGTCCGGCTCCATCCTCCTCCAACCCACCCTTTAGACACTTGTCAGCATTGATAAGATCTCCCCTCAGCCTTCTCTTCTCCAGGCTCAAGAGCCCCAGCTCTCCCAGCCTTTCCTCATCAGGGAGATGCTCCAATCCCTCCATCATGGTTGTTGCCCTACGCTGGACTCTCTCCAGCAGTTCCCTGTCTCTCTTGAACTGGGGAGCCCAGAACTGGAGGCAGGATTCCAGTTGTGGCCTCCCCAGTGCAGAGCAGAGGGGGAGAATGACCTCCCTCGACCTCCTGGTCACACTCTTCCCTCTGCATTCCCTATTCCTGTAGTATTTTCCCATCCGCACACCAGGCATGATACTTGTTAAAAACTCTTCTTTTTGATCAAGTCCAAAGTGCTGTGTAGGAACATGGGGTCCGTGTGATGGGATCAGCTGAGGCACAGCCACCACCGGGGTCAGACGGTGCCGTTCAGGTTGTTTTGAGACTACCAACACGCCAGCTACAGGCACAGTTGTGTTCATCACTGACCTGTATGGCAGCAAAAGTAAAAAGCCTACCACCACCTCTTCTTATTACTCCCCTGGGCCTGTGACTTTGAACACCTGGTAATTTTCTGTGTACGATGATTTGTTTTGCTGTGGCAGGGCTGGGTTGTTGTGCTCATTGCTAAGCAATTAACAGTTTGTCCTTCCAGAAATATCCGGCGCCCCAGATGCTATTAGCTCCTCGGAAGGTTTTCAACAAAAACATTCCAGGGGAGACACGTTAGCAGTTCTTCCACCTTCTGGGGCAAGCACCTCTCCAGCTACATACCCCAGCACAGAACACCAGACCAGGACAGGGAAAAGGGTTATTTGTGATCAAGACCTTGTCTTGCCAAGTTCTGCACAAGCTTTTCACCTCACATCATCCTGAGACTGGCACATTTCTTGCATAATCCCATTTTCACAGGCACCAGTGGAGAACCTTACCCCAACCCAAACAGCAAAGGGTGGCTCCTGCATCAGGTTCCTATGGCTTCCAGGCACCAACCAGCACAGGGACTCGAGAGAGGCCAGCCAGTTTCCCAACCAGCAGCTGTAATTTCTGACCCATGGACCTAAAACAGCAAATGCAAGTCTCAAGAGTAACTTCTCAGAGAGAATTCCCTGAAGGTAATGATCTTTTGGTCACCCTGGGTCACCCAACCTGAGGACAACCTGCTTGCACTTGACCAAGGTGCTCACAGATCCCTCTTTTAGATTGAGGCTATCAAACATGAGCCTTTCTGAAGAGTCCAAAAGGACCAGTATCTCTCCAGCAAAAGAAAATTTCAAATAATCACCAAAAGTGACCTCAAAATACAATCAGTATTTGCCAAATACTTTTCCCCCCGTCTTTCTTTTATTTACAAATGAGTAAATGCCCACACTGAGATCATAGAATGGTTAGAGTTGGAAGGGAGCTTGAAGATCATCCAGTTCCAACCCCCCTGCCCTGGGCAGGGACACCTCCCACCAGACCAGGTTGCTCCAAGCCCCATCCAGCCTGGCCTTGAACCCCTCCAGGGATGGGGCAGCCACAGCTTCTCTGGGCAACCTGGGCCAGGCTCTCGCCACCATCACAGCAAAGAAGTTATTTCTGGTATCTTATCTAAATTTCTCCTCTTCCAATTTAAAACCGTTACCCCTTGTCTTGTACTTTCCCCCAAGAATCCTCTCCCATCTCCAGCAGTTTGCAGAACCATGTCTCCACCTGGTCTCAGGATCCCAGGTCTAAGCAAGCAGAAGGTGTATTTAATGCATTTTAATACATCATCTCTAGCCATATATTTTTTTAAAAAATAATACATGTAGGTATATAAATAAAATAAAGGTCAAAATATCTTCTTACAGATAGGTACAGAATTATCTGTACTGCTTTATTTACACATTCCCTAGTCAGTATCTCTTTCAGAAGACCAGTTGTGGGTATAATACTCAGCTCCTACACAATTGTAGCTATTGTGCAATGGTCCTTTGGTATATTTTGTCTTTTTGTATTACACTAAACACTCTCCTGATCTCAGCCACGCACAAGCTGATATTTAAAATGCCATCAATATACTTATTGGCCAGAATGATCCTTCTATGTAAAACTTGAGCCCTCATTGTGGAAAAGGAGGAAGAATAAAACCCCATGTGTGAGGAAAAACCACATTGTCCTTTAAACAGCTGGTGAAGGAATGGGCACAAACCGAAGGGAACAGAAGAGAGGAGGGTCACCACTGCAGGGACAGCCAGCTGCCCAAATGTCACCCCACATCATGCCCCAGTGCCTACAGCAAGGACACAGGCCCCCCCTTCCCTGCCCACGGGGGTCTCAGCATCTCTGAAGCAGCTCCCTTTCCTCAAAGAAGAGCTCTCCTGATGGCTGTTGAACTGGTAAACCCGCCGCTTGAACAAGCGATGGAGCTTCTCCTGGAACTGGTTCCCAATGAAGCAGTAGAGCAAAGGGTTGGTGCAGCTGTTGGCGAACGCCATGCAGATGGCGAAGGGCAGCCCCGTGTCGATCGTCCCCGTCACGTCACAGCTGTCAATGATGTTCATGTGAACCAAGGCATCCAAAAACGTTAAAATGTGGAACGGGAGCCAGGAAATAAAGAAGGCCACAACGACGGCAGCCACCAGCTTTAGGACTTTGTCCCTCTTCTGCTTGTTTTTCCCAAACTCCTGCGCTTTGAGCAAGTGCCTCCTGATCCAGACGTAACACGTGGTGATCACTGTCAAGGGGATGAAGAAGCCGAGCGCGTTTTTCAGGAAGGCTGTTGCCACAGACCATTTTGCATAGTTCTCATGAGGAAAGGCCATAATGCAAGCACTGACCCCCAAGCTGTCGATGTAGCAAGTGTCACGGAAATAGAAGGTTGGGAGGGAGGACAAAGAGGCAAGGCCCCACACAACCAATGCCGTGAGATAAGCTTGTCGTGGAGTTCTCCTCTGAGAGCGAATCGGGTGGACAATAGCGTGGTACCGGTCCACGCTCATGCACGTAATGAAAAATATGCTTGCAAACATGTTCAAGCACAGGATGGAGCTGGAGATCTTGCACATGAGGGACCCGAAGAGCCAGTTGTACCCCTGTGCGTAGTAGGCAGCCCAGAAGGGAAGGGTGGCGAGACACAGCAAATCCGCCACGGCCAGGTTGAAAATGTAGACATTGGCCACTGTTTTGGGGCCACTGTAGCGACAAAGCACCACGACCACCACGCTGTTGCCGACCAACCCCAGAACAAAAACCACAGAGAAGAGCACCGGAATTAGTGAAAACTGATAATCTGAAGAGGTAAGTGGGCAGGGAGGGGGCGATCGCAACCCGGCCGATGAGTTTGCCACTGCTGTGAAGAGGACTTGGAGAGTTTCTCTGGTGGTGACGACCAGGGAGTGGTTGCTCTGCATGTCGGTGGTGGTGGTGGCAAAGGAGGTTCTGCAGGAAATTCATGCACTAACAGCACTTCTCTATCACATCACTCACCTGCAGACCAGAAACTGTGTATTAGACATGCATTCTGCAGCCATAGAATCATAGAATTACCCAGGCCGGAAGGGACCTCCAAAGGCTCCATCTAGTCCAACCCCCCCGCAGTCAGCAGGGACACCCCCAACTAGACCAGGTTGCCCGGGGCCTCGTCGAGCCTCTCCTTGAATATCTCCAGGGAAGGGGCCTCAACCACCTCCCTGGGCAACCTGTTCCAGTGCTCCACCACCCTCACAGTGAAGAACCCCCTCCTAATCTCCAATCTAAATCTGTTCCCCTCCAGCTTGAAGCCATTGCCCCTCATCCTGTCACTGCAGGCCTTTCTAAACAGGTTCTCCCCAGCCTTCCTGTAGGCTCCCTTCAGGTACTGGAAGGCTGCCCTAAGGTTTCCCCGGAGCCTCCTCTTCTCCAGGCTGAACAACCCCAGCTCCCTCAGCCTGTCCTCGTAGCAGAGGTGCTCCATCCCCCTGATCATCCTTGTGGCCCTCCTCTGGACCCTCTCCATCAGGTCCATGTCCTTCTTATATTGAGGGCTCTGAGCTCTGGAGTCACACAGCCACAACAAAATAAAAACCATTTAAAGTTCTGTCTGTAAGCTGAGTGCTGAAATATCAGCCAACCCTGCTGGACTCCTTTCCCCCATCCCACTGACAGGACACAATTAGCTCTAGGGAGGTCACAGCACTTTTTAATTAGCGTGGCAGGGAAGCGAGCAGCTGGGTTTTATCTGTGATTGCAGATGGTGCTTTCTGTGGTCAGCAGAGCAGAAAGATTATTGACTCAGGAGCTGGAGATACTTCAGCAACTTTTGTGACCAAAGGCAGCATCGAAGCTCCTCATGATCCTTTTCTCAGCTTTCTTATACTATTTCTGTCACTCTGTGCAGTTAAAATAATGCAGAGAGGCAGCACTCGCCAGTGGGGATCAGATACTTCACACCTGAGAGTCTCCTGGGACTTCACAGGCAGGATGGCAGCTTTTTCACAAGGCTATTAGGAAACAAGCTTTGATTTGACTTTTTTTTTTTTCTTCTTAATTCACAAGACTGGATACAAACACACTGAAGGGTCATTTACTGTCAGAGTCCTTCTCAAAGCGAATCTGCACCTCCTGCCCTCATGATGGCTTTTAGCCAGAAAAGAAATATTTCCAGTGTAGATCCAAGCAATAGAGAGTCAAGTACTCAGTCCTTGCAGGCACTGGATTTAACAGCAGTACTTGTTGTACATTTAGAAAGATCAGAGTTGGGTTTCAGTAGAGGAAAACATAGCTACAAAACAGCTAAAATCGGAGAGTTAATTGCAAGTTCTGTCTTTGTTCCAATTCAACAGCTTGTGTCTGCACTCTAAGCAGGGCATTTTTCAAACTTCAGGACTTTATAGCCAAGGAAGAAGGTATCATACCCAAATATTTTATTTTACATAATAGAAAGAAAATTCCTTTCTAATTAAGTCCTTATAGAACCAGTCTGACATTAAAGAGTTCTCAAGGGGCCCTAAAAACACAGAAATTTTTATCAAGACAACAGAGCTGGGTAGTGATCTCTCATTTACCAGAAGACAGCTATTCATTTCAAATGCATTTTTTGATATTAACAGTTTAGTGTACCCTAGCTTATAATTTGCTCTCAATGCAAAATATGCAATATGCTACTTTAAATATAGGGACAGAAATCTAATTTTAATTTGACTGTCTCATCAATGAAGGTTCAATAGGAGAATATTAATGCACATCCCTGCAGAGTGCCAGTATTTGAAGTCCCAAATACCAGACCACAAGCCCACGTTCTGTCATCAAACAGGTTTGATCAATTAATCCTCTTAAACCAGAGGAGAGTTTTTTGTTTGGGGAGGACAAAGACTCTGGAGAGGACTGGAGCCTCATTTCACCCCTCGCTTTAACCTACAGAAACGGAAATCTCAGAACTAGTGACAGTGTTCCATATCTGACTTAATCCTAATTGCTCACACCCTAATTAATTTTAGCAACATCACTGAAAACAAGGTTTCATTGTCAAACACGCTCCCCTCTCTGCACATGAACATCCGGTGCCTTAGAATTTGCTTCTAAACGAGTCATTCCTCCTCTTACTTAAGAGATAGAGAGGCATTTTATCACAAGTTGAACCTAATCCACGGAAAATAAGTTCTACCAGCAGATAGATAGAAAACTTACCTCTCGAACCTCAGAGTCCTCTGGATGCAGCTCTGGAGTTATGTGCTCCTTTTTTTCAGCTGTCCTTCTAGCGAGTATCGCCACCAGCAATCTGCTCTCTCACATCTTCCCTTTTCCCACTGGGAGACTTTAACCTACATAACTCGGGAACTGAAATCCGAACGCCTGCCAGCTCCTTTTCCTCTTGGAAGCACAACAGTCTGAGACCCCCCCCGCCCCCTTCCCAAAGCCACGTGAGCACATGCAGTACAGCGGGAGAGAAGAACGAGATAGCAAAGACAGAAAGAGAGAAAGACAAAAAGACAGAATGAAGGAAAGAGAGAGAGAGAGAAAGAGAAAGAGAGAGAGAGAGAAAGAGAAAGAGAAAGAGAAAGAGAAAGAGAAAGAGAAAGAGAAAGAGAAAGAGAGAGAGAAAGAGAGAGAGAGAGAAAGAGAGAGAGAGAGAAAGAAGGAAAGAAGGAAGGAAGGAAGGAAGGAAGGAAGGAAGGAAGGAAGGAAGGGAGAGAGAAGTAATTTAATAATTTATTTATGGAGTAATAACATGCATCTGTCAGAAATGCAGAGCTCACTAACTGAAATCTAATGGGAAAGATCTGTGCAGTGAAAAACCCCAAATCTTATCCCACATTCAGTGAAGTAAAAGGAAAAAGGAAAGAAAGAAAGAAGGAAAGAAAGAAAGAAAGAAAGAAAGAAAGAAAGAAAGAAAGAAAGAAAGAAAGAAAGAAAGAAAGAAAGAAAGAAAGAAAGAAAGAAAGAAAGAAAGAAAGAAAGAAAGAAAGAAAGAAAGAAAGAAAGAAAGAAAGAAAGAAAGAAAGAAAGAAAGAAAGAAAGAAAGAAAGAAAGAAAGAAAGAAAGAAAGAAAGAAAGAAAGAAAGAAAGAAAGAAAGAAAGAAAGAAAGAAAGAAAGAAAGAAAGAAAGAAAGAAAGAAAGAAAGAAAGAAAGAAAGAAAGAAAGAAAGAAAGAAAGAAAGAAAGAAAGAAAGAAAGAAAGAAGGAAAGAAGGAAAGAGAGAGAAAGAGAGAAAGAGAGAGCAAACCCCCTTTGCCTCCGGCTGTAAGCACAACACACGTGTGCCCCCAGCAGGGATTCCTGTGCCTCGGAGGGGGCTCCCAGGGGCTCTGTGGGGTCCCAGCACTGGCCAAAATGTTTGGGAGTGGAATGGGCTGTCAGTCCTGGCAGAGCCAGCCACAAGGTGAACACATAGGGACAGAAAGTGGAGGAACACGAGAGCAGTCCCTCCAGCCTGCACTGCCTGTGTCGGGGGGCTGATCCTGTCCCCCCCCAGCCAGCGGGACAGGAAAGCCACCGCCTGAGTCCAAGCAGAGACTCCAAAATGGGGTTTTCACATCTGCTGCTTCCTCCGCCTGGCCCCAGCCTCCTCAGCCTGGAAGGAGCCCCAAGAGGGTTCCTAGGGCAAAGTAAGCACCCATAAACCTTAAACATTTCACCTCAATACCCTAAATGAGATCTCCTCTGCAGCAGCAGCCCATCTAAAGGTCTTGTGAGGGAGCTTGGGGGTGTTCAGCCTGGAGAAAAGGAGGCTGAGGGGAGACCTTCTCGCTCTCTCCAACTCCCTGAAAGGAGGGTGTAGCCAGGGGGGGTCGGTCTCTTCTCCCAAGGAACAGGCCATGGGACAAGAGGAAACTACCTCAGGTTGCAACAGGGGAGGTTTAGGATGGAGACTGGGAAAAAATTATTCACTGAAAGGGTTGTCAAACATTGGAAGAGGCTGCCCAGGGCAGCGGTGGAGTCGCCTTCCTTGGAGGTATTTAAAAGCCAGGCAGACGTGGTGCTGAGGGACATGGGTTAATTGTGGGTTTGTCAATGTTGGGTTGATGGTTGGACTCAATGGTCTGAAAGGTCCCTTCCAACCTGGACAATTCTATGATTCTACTGGGGACAGGTTGTGGTGCTCCCCAGGCATGTCTGCATGTGCCAGATGGAGAGCAACCACAGAAGTCCCTGCCAGCGACACGTCCCTCTGTCCCAGCCAGGTGCTGCTGGCTGTCTGTCCATCACCTGCTGGGGCTGGACCCAAGCTTATCCCGTTCCTTGGCCACTGGCATAGCTTCACAGTGATGGGTATCGTGCTGGGCCAACTGGGGGAACCCCGGTGCTTCCCTTGCTCGGGGACCATGCAGCACACCAGAGACAACGGCAGCACAGGCTCTGTGACCAGCTCTGCTCACACTGAGGTAACCCAGAAAAGAGATAAAACAGCCTTTTTACCACCACCTTCAGAGGAACTAAGGGCTGAGCAGGCTGTGGAAAGCAAACTCACCTTTCTGTCTGGGAACCCAGAAAGAGACACAGAGAATGCTGGAAAAGCTCATCAGCAAATCCATCCCCATCCCCTGAGGAGAGCACTGCTTCTCAAGGCAGGGAGAGGAGTCCTTGCCAGCTTTTGGCTTTTTATCTGCCTCGTACAATCCAGTTCTTGGTATTTTCTGTGCAAAAGGAGAGCGGGTTATTTATAGGAGGGAAATCCCACGCAGCATTTCTACTTATCCCACTGGAGCTGATTTACTGCTTCCCAGACACGATGACAAAGTGGTCAGTGGTCAGGAGTGTCAGGCTGCAAGCCTGATATAAATATTTAGTTTGATTTTGGGGCAACCCTTCCTCTTCCTTTTCCTACTCATTCTTCCCCACCGTGATTTAAGGTTGTCAGGGAAAAGGCAGAGAAGGAGGGGAGACACCCTGGAACCAACGAAATTTGCATTACTCAACAAAAATCAAAGAAAATTTGTAAAGGTAACAGTAACATCCAGATTAGATTGGGGCTGAAAAAGTCAAGGCTTTACCAAAAACCTATAAGATGAAGCTTTGCACAATCACGACCAGGAGACCTGTTGTTTTGTTCAAGAGGCGTTAAACAGATGATGCACCCTCTAAAGACAAGCTGCAAGAATTCTGTCCTCTCTCCAAACCCAACATCTACCAAGCAGTAGGAGCACATGGGATGTGTAAGTGCAGAGGCCACAAAGGAGAAGCTGCAAAGGAGAAGAAATACCCCTTTTGCCACCCCCACCACCCCCCCAGTATATGTCTCCCGGGTCTGACAGACTCAGAGGAAGGACCTGAGGTCTCAGCACCCACTCTGACCCATATTCATTCCATTTTTCCCTAACAGTATGTGACAGGACACCCTCAGCCAGGAATTCTCACTGCTCGTTGCTTTGCACACAAAAGATCTTGCTCTGTCCTTCATCAGACATCCAGCACACTTTTTAACTGTCTGTGTGGGAAGTCAGATGCATGAATGAGAAGGTTTATTTTGCAAAGATGAAAACCACAAATTGTTTAGGTTTAAATACATGGTTTTCCTTTCCAGATGCACCCTTGATCTTCACAGACATAGACTGTGCCTATTCTGTTCTACCTCCAGAATGGTTTGAAGCTTTGTGCTGGGTTTATACCTCTCCATAGACAAGAGATGGGCCTGGTGCAGTGGGGGTCACACCTCGGGCTGCCCTTTAGAATCATAGAAGCACAGAATGGTTAGAGTTGGAAGGGACCTTAAAGATCATCAAGTCCCAACCCCCTGCCCTGGGCAGGGACACCTCCCACCACACCAGGTTGCTCCAAGCCCCATCCAGCCTGGCCTTGAACCCCTCCAGGGATGGGGCAGCCACAGCTTCTCTGGGCAACCTGGGCCAGACTCTCACCACCCTCTCAGCAAAGAATCTCCCCTCTTCCAATTTAAAACCATTCCCCCTTGTCCTGTCACTGCACTCCCTGACAAAGAGTCCCTCCCCAGCTCTCCTGGAGCCCCTTCAGATATTGGAAGCTGCTCTAAGGTCTCCCCGGAGCCTTCTCTTCTCCAGGCTGAACAACCCCAGCTCTCTCAGCCTGTCCTCACAGCAGAGGGGCTCCATCCCTCTGAGCATCTTCCTGTCCCTCCGCTGGACCCGTTCCAACAGGTCCATGTCCTTCCTGTGTTGAGGGCTCCAAAGCTGGACATCCTGCTCCCATTCCTCCCCCTGCCAGTGCTTAATGCATCCCATCCCTTATCTGATCCCAGATTCTTCCTCCAAAGCTCCATTTAGTTGATGTGCAAAACCCTTCCCTCTTGTATCTCCCCTGCTATTTCTTCCTTCCTCCCCCTCTGTGCATTGCCTGCACACAAATGGCTGGGAAATAGAAGGTACAGCCGATAAGGCCACCCAAGCTGTCCCTGCACAAGCCAACCTTGTGCCAGGTAGCTCATGTCCCCTGAGCTCCCAGGACATTTTTGTCCAGGTCCACAGCCTGGCTGGTAAATCTGGGTCTGTGGCATCGGAGTCCAGCACACAGCTCAGTGCAAGGGCAGAGTCCTGGGGCTTTTCAAAAGCAAAATTACAAAAGCTGGGAGTTTTCACCTCCAGAAGACCTGTTTGATGTTAAGTAGCGAGGAGTTAGTGGTGCCTGGGGCAGGTATTTGGGGAAGGATTTTATGCATGTCTTTTATACCAAGAAAAAAAAATAAATCACAGTTCAAGAGAAGTGAGACATTTTGCTGCATGTTCACACACAGCACTCAGCTTTACCTCTCCGTCCTCAGGCCCGGGCACCTAAAGAGGTCACTAGAAGTGTTTAAAAAAACAAACACAACCAAACCAAACCAGAAAAAAAAATCCAAACCCAAAAAAACCACCCACACACAATTCAAGTAGCAACTTCTGATCAATTGTGCAAATCCAAAAATAAAAAAAAAAGGATTCACACACTCCAAGTCCTAAGTCTCCCTTTTTGCAGGGAAGTGCTGCTGCCAGGGATGGAATATTCCGACCAGGCAGCACACCCGACCGTGCCAGCAGCCTGTCAGAGCCAGCTCTGGAGGTTGAACCAGAGGCTTGCCAGCCTGCCAGATCCTCAGAGCAATGTGGGATCCAGACACAGGCTGCATTTATGGGCTGGGTTTGTTTCTTTTGGAGAGAGCAAGAAGGGAAAAAAAACCTCTCCCTTAAACATGCTCCGCGGGCTTGCACAAGCCGACACGGGTGAGAACGGCTCGGCACCCTTGGGTGCTGGGTGACAGCAGGGTGCCCCGAGTCCCTGGTCCAGGGCTGGAGAAGGAGCTGGGCACTGGGGGAGCATCAATTCCCATCCTGCCAGATGGACAACAGCCCTTGTGCCCCCCCTCACTGACAGCATCCCGCCCACAGCCACCCCCCAGCACT